AGACTGTGTTATGATCTATATGACCTTATTATTTTTATTGTGAGTATTAGGCTTATCATTATTGCTGATCACTGTTGTTGTGCTATGATATTGTAATATTTACCATTATATAATCAGAGGGGTATAGAAAAGTTTATTAACGTGTCACTCCATAATACAATCGCAAAATATATAAATATGTATAGTATTTTTATGTAACATTAATCAGTATTTAGCACACAATAGAAGACACGCAAAATATATAAATGTGTATAGTATTTTTATGTAACATTAATCAGTATTTAGCACACAATAGAAGACATGGCAATTACTAAATGATATTTAGACAGACTTAAAGAAGTTCCAGATCTATACTTGTGCTCTTATTATTTTAGTTATTTTGCCTTTAATGTAAATAAACATGTGCAAACAATATACTTGCTCTTGTGAATTTGATGTTAATTACATTGTGCAGCTGTCTCTTTAATACCTAGTGTTTTATATACATGCTGCTGCTGATTGGGCTGACATGTTTAACTCACCCACCAAACAAGAGAAAACGTATCTCAAACCCCTTTGCACACCGTTTCCAGGAAACATGTCGTTCAAACCGGAAACCGTAGCAAAACGCTGCACACCGGTTTGAGCTTGAACATGCCCCTTGGTAAACACCACCAATGAAGTGCCGCGTCGGTCATGTGATCATGTGAGCGCGTGTGTCAAACTGGGATAGAGACAGAATCACTGGAAGTATGTGCTGCTGGCGGCAGTCGCTTTAAATACAGACTGGAGAGGAGCACTCATAGGTAGGTCTATGTGATATCAATTTTCTTATATAATAGCATTGTGTAATTAGTTATAAAATCCAACCAAATTATTTCAGGTCGCATTGTGCTTGTTTGTTTTCTCTATTGAAACGCTGTACTGTTTCTCTGTGTGTTTTTTTCACTCATTAATAGTGTTTAGACCTCCAGACTGCAACTTATTAATATTCGTCATATTTACTTATTATTTTACATGCCTATATTTTACATGCATAACACGATATACAATCAGACATTACGGAAAGTTGGACGAATATGTCCCACTTAAGAACAATGTGTATTTACTTTAAATTAGATATTAGTTTGGCATGTGCCAGATGATAATTGTGTTAAATAAATACCTGTAGAAATATCTGCTAATTACATGTCAGCACAAAATGTGAAATTATTCAGTGCTGAGGCAAAAAAAACTTTAGGCCTATATATATGACACTTAATATAATGTTTATGTAAAATAATTAAATTATTTTCTATTTCAAATTATGAGTTGACAATTTAGTTAGACAAAAAAAACAAAAAAAAGATACTCCACTGAAAAATTGACTTTTACACAGGCATATATACGCACTTGATGAATAGCCTATATATTATATTTATGAAGAGAGCATTGTAAAATAAATACAGTGCATGATATGAACACTGTGTTTGTAATGTAATCTTTGCAAGCTTGCTTTACATTCAACTATTACAAAAATATTCCACAACAAAGTTAAAGTACAATCATGGTCCTAGTTTGTTTATGTGATCTCCAGTGCTGATGGCGCCAGCATGCACTTGGTTTGCACTGAAGACCAGTGCAATGATGTGATCCATCTTTGTCAGGAATTTTTAAACATATCTAGCGTGAGATATGTTCCTGTCACTGTAGTGACAGGAACAAACAGGAAGATATGTGTGTTTGTGCACAGAAAGAGGATATGGAGCTGTAGAGCGTTCACCCTCCTGCAGAAAACAGACTTTTAGCTTTAGACCTTGTTGACTATTGATAAATGTTTCCGTGAAGTATGCATGTGTTTTTCTGTGGTTTGGGTTACTAAGAATTATGTTCTTACAATGGATATGGGAACTTATTTAGATTCCTCTTGTGTAAATGTCACTTGTGTGTGAAATGGAGTACGTGTATTGAGGCTTGCTTCCTTTTTCTGTGTTGGTGTGTGTGGGTATATGTGACCCTGGAGCACAAAACCAGTCTTCAGTCGCTGGGGTATATTTGTAGCAATAGCCAAAAATACATTGTATGGGTCAACATTATAGATTTTTCTTTTATGCCAAAAATCATTAGGATATTAAGTAAAGATCATGTTCCATGAAGATATTCTTTAAATTTCCTACCGTAAATATATTCAAACTTAATTTTTGATTAGTAATATGCATTGCTAAGGACTTCATTTGGACAACTTTAAAGGCGATTTTCTCAATATTTAGATTTTTTTGCACCCTCAGATTCCAGATTTTCAAATAGTTGTATCTCGGCCAAATATTGTCCTATCATAACAAACCATACATCAACGGAAAGCTTATTTTTACAGATTGTATAAACCTCAATTTCGAAAAATTGACCCTTATGACTGGTTTTGTGGTCCAGGGTCACATATGTATTTTTATTATTAAGTGTATTTTTAGTATAATATAGAAATGTATATATACATAAATTAATTCTATAGATTGTTTATATATTTACAATAAAAATATATTTATATATTTTTGTCAAATCTCAAACCCATTAGGATACATAAAAATAAATGAAAATGTAATATATTTATAATTAATTAATAATTAATAATAATAATTTATGCATTTAGCAGACGCTTTTATCCAAAGCGACTTACAGTGCATTCAGGCTATACATTTTTTTACCAGTACGTACCAGTATAGTACCAGTATATTTAAACATAAATATTTCCAGAAAAAATATTTATAAGATATGTAAATTATTATTATTATTTATTTTTCAAGGCCTTTGTGTCAAGTCTTGAAGCCAATATATCAAAATAAAAAAACAAAAAAACTAAATGCTGTATATAAACGTACATATTTCCAAATATATATAAGTTATGTAAATTATCATTTATACTTTTAAATTAATTAATAAATTTACATGCAGTCTTTTTTCAATGCCAAAGCCTAGCAAATGTATTGTGTCCACCAGCATACATTGCAACTCTTTCAGTGTTTTTAAAAATCATGAAGTTTCAGAGAGAATGTCCACTTGTGTATGTGACAGAGAGAATTTTATGCGCTCTTTAAATAAACCTCTAGCTCTTTTTTTTAGTCTCAATGTATTGGTCACACATGTCTTTGTTTGACTGCAGCTGTGTTTTAAACTCACATACGCACTAGTTTCACTTCAGACTATTGCCTGACTATGGATGTCCCCAAAGACAGAATCAATAGTGTGAAGAACACAACAATTCTTCATTAATACAGCAATTCAGAAAGTGAGAGGTATGACTTAACACCTGCTGCTTTCATAAATAGCATAACTTCCCTGATCTGTAATTAAGAGTCCAGCCTGTTCAGTAAAGCTATTTTGCAGGTGTCCTGGAGTGTGTAGAACCTCATTATACTGTCATTTTACATCTAGTGTCTGTACTAACCTCACAGTGTTGCACTTGCTGACTGTAACCGAGCTGTATGTTCACTGTATGTTCTTATGAATGACTTCTGCAAATTTTGTTTTGAGGAAATGATCTGTTTAAGGTCTTGTGCTTGCATCTGTCTCCATGTGAGTGTGACTTCAGTGCTGTGTACGCTAATTAAACAAATATCGCTTTAGAAAATATAGTTTCAAGAGATGTCAGGCAGACAGGGCCGTCAGTGTGTAATTGTCTCTTTGAGGAAATTATTACAGCTTCTAGACTCTAATCTCAGGCTTACAGACAAAATATTTCATCCGTAATCATAATAATATGCCACAGACATGCACAGAGTATGACTGAATGCGAAGGGAGACAAGAGCGTGGCAAATACAGTATGAATGTATGCATCAGTCATACTGAAAATAGACAATTTTATATCAGAGTAATTTTATTTAGTGATCCTCATGCCTCTTTTGAATTGCAGGACTTTAAAACAACAAGAGCGACATGGCAGTGAACTCGTCATTACAACCCAGCCGGATGGACAGAAGTGGTAGTTTTCTTCAGGTAGGAGGATCAGTTGCACACTAAACCTGCACTTCATTTTGAGAAACCCAATCAAGGACCGCATTTGTGATTTTTGTATATTTTAAAGAAAACGTTTGGGTGTTTCTTGGTGGCTGTGACGAGGTGTTGTTTTTACTGGCCGATGTAAAGAGTGCTCACTCCCAAGTCAAGCTTATTCTGGACCTTTGGGATGTTTTACTGTGTGGCTGGTGGAAATTTTAAATCTGATCTAATAGTATCTATAATGGGGGGAAAACACATATAAAAGCACACTTATCCTTAACAAAATGCATGATTTATTTGAGGCATCATAAATGTTCATAGCATACACAATGCAGGACAATTTAAACACCAAATTTATGAATTCTAGGCAACAATAAATGAAGATTATTTCCATTAGATGTCATTTTTTTACATTGATGTATAATGTTTAGTTCCAAATCCATTTTTCTGAGTTTATAAATCTTCTTTTTTAAAAAATTTTTTTTTAGGCTGACATTTGTGTAACAATTTAATAAGCGCAGGTCACGCAGATGGTGCTACAGACTCTTATTTGCCAATGCGCTCAAGCAGGGAATGTTTTTGGATCAGTATAAATATCCCTATTCACCTACAGAACATTTTCTGTTCCACTGCTTGCATTCACTGGCTGTCTGGTGTTCCTTGTAAAAATCAATGGACAGAAACTGTGTGTGTGTGTGTGTGTGTGTGTGTGTGTGTGTACAGGTTTATATATTCTGGTGGGGACTTAAACCTGACTACACACAGACTCATGGGGACTCGTATCACGGTGGGGACCTAAATTGTGGTCCCCACGGGTACAAAAACTTATAAATCATACAGAATTTAGTTTTTTGAAAATCTAAAATTGCAGAAAGTCTCATGTAAGGGGTAGGTTTAGGGGTAGGGTTTATAAAAACCATTACGCCTATGGGATGTCCCCACAAGGATAGCTGACCAGGTGTGTTTGTGTGTTTGTGTGTGTGTGTGTGTGTGTGTGTGTTTGTGTGTGTGTGTTGCCCAGACAGGACCATTCAAACGCTCTATAATAGATGTGTCTTTTTGAGATTCACATCTCTCTCTTTCTCTCTCTCTCCTTAATTAGTCCTTCATCTCTTCTTCTTCTCCAGGGCTTTTTTTATTTTATCATTCAGTCTAAACAATTGCTCTCTCTGTTCGGTCCTCATCCTCCGTCTCGCTCATCTAAAGTTTATCTTGCCTAGTTTATGTTGTATTTTATGACATTCAGTCAAGGAATTTATCACTAACACTAAGAATTACAATAGAAATCTCAAAGAACTTTTGTCTTTTGATTCGGTTTTCATCTGCGTTTAATGGCCTGCAATTTAATCCAAAATAGCCCATAATTGCAGATCAGCATTAAAAGCACAGGAAGCTGGCACACAGTGATTAAAAATATTTACATGGAGTCAACATTGTGCATCACCATAGTGGCATATTGGAAACATTGCTTCGTTTTAAAAATAGTTTTGTTCCGAATGCCACTAACAGCCTGCTAGGCTGCCTTTTTTTTGTTTTGATAATTTTGTTATATAATGTATATTTTAATGTATGTAATATAGAGGGTTGAGTAACCTGTATCAAACTAATCCTGCTCCATTTGCACAATTGATATAAATGCTACATCAAATCATGCATTTTGTTGAAAAGGAATGTGCTATTACTTTTTGAAAGGTGATCCTATTTACTTTTTGCCTCGTGGACAATCAAATGTGCCCAAAAATCCCATAGACTTGCATTACAGGAGCATGGAAGCTTGTTTCTGATAATAAAGGTCAATAAAAAAGGTAATTGAAACTTTTTAATCCCACAATTCTGATTTAAAAAAAAATAAAAAATTTATTATGAGTTTGTCACAATTCTGATTTTTTTTCTTTTTTTCAGAATGAGATATAAACTCACAATTGCGAGAATTGTGAGACAAAAAGTAGCAATTACCTTTTTTATTTTCACTCGATGGAAAAAGAAAAAACACAGTTGCAAAATGTAATAACTTAGAATTCAGAGAAAAAAAGTCGTAATTGTGAGATGTAAACACATTTTTTGAGTTTATAACTCAAAATCCAACACATTTAAACACATTTTTCTCATGTTTGTATTTTTTAGTTTATTTCGCATGGCATTTAAAAATCACATGCAGTTGCTTGCATAGAGTAATGCTGTGACGTTTAGGTTGTGTTGCCATGATAAATCCTATTTCCTGTTGGGGAAAAAATAGATTAAGAACACCGAAAAGTGACACAAATAAGCCTCTTTCAGCTTGTTTTATTTTTAATTTTCTAGCTTTCCTTTTTTTTCTTCAGTGTTCTCAGCAGGTTTCCTGGCAGTTTCTCTTTTGTCAGATTCTTTGTTAGCAAAGGGGAAGTTGCCAAAGTGAATTTTAAAAGAGCACCATATTAATTCACTGAAATGTTTTCTGCTTGGACATGTAAGATTTGACTTTTTCTATCAATGTGCAGCTCGTCGATGCGTTTGCATTGTCACTGGGTGCATTGGAGCAGCAAATGGTTCATGCTGTGCAGGAAAAAGACAGAGATCCAGACAGAGATCCAGATATTTCTATGCTCATAGAGTGAGTACACATACCAAACACGTCAAAAATGCATTTAGACCATCATTGTACAATAAGCGAAATAAGAGAGCATTTAAATGAAATAGTGCATATATTTTCTGTACTTTTAATAAATGCATTGCATTTACTTCTGTTAAGTTTAGTGAGTACACATGCCAAAAGCATTGGAGCAGCAAATGGTTCATGCTGTGCAGGAAAAAGACAGAGATCCAGACAGAGATCCAGATATTTCTATGCTCATAGAGTGAGTACGCATACCAAACAGGTCAAAAATGCATTTAGACCATCACTGTACAGTAAGCTAAATAAGAGTGCATTTAAATGAAATAGTGCATATATTTTCTGTACTTTTAATAAATGCATTGCATTTACTTCTCTTAAGTTTAGTGAGTACACATGCCAAACACGTCAAAAATGCATTTAGAACATCATTGTACAGTAAGCGAAATAAGAGTGCATTTAAATGAAATAGTGCATATATTTTCTGTACTTTTAATAAATACATTGCATTTACTTTTAAGTTTAGTGAGTACACATGCCAAACACATCAAAAATGCATTTAGACCATCATTGTACAATAAGCTAAATAAGAGAGCATTTAAATGAAATAGTGCATATATTTTCTGTACTTTTAATAAATGCATTGCATTTACTTCTGTTAAGTTTAGTGAGTACACATGCCAAACACGTCAAAAATGCATTTAGACCATCATTGTACAGTATATGAAATAAGAGTGCATTTAAATGAAATAGTGCATATATTTTCTTTACTTTTAATAGATGCATTGCATTTACTTCTGTTAAGTTTATGTACTGTAATATGTCATTACATTTACAAAGAACCTCTGTATGTTTTAGACTGGAGTCCAGTAGAGGGAGCCAGTGTCTAGTCTGTCTTGCTAATGCCTTTTCTTCCTTTAAAGGACATAAGAGACATTTCTGTCAAAACAAAACAACCCTCTACACCCATGCCTTGTTTTGTTCTCTGTAGGATAGAGGGAGAGATGAGTCCTGTGTGTCTACAGTATCCTGCGGTTGATGGGGAAGGTACGAGCATAAGTGTGAGTGTGTTGGACAAACTGATACACACACACCCCATCTGGCTTATGCTTTCCATCGACCAGCGAGAGGCCACTGGCATCCTTCTGCAGCAACCAGCTGGGGTAAAATATGTTCGAGAGAGTGAACGCAAAGACGCCAGACAGATCTTTTTCAAGAAATAGTTCACAGAAATTCAAATTCTGTCACCATTTATTCACCCTTGTTTTGTTCCAACCGCATTGGACTTTTGTGAAATATACAAAAAGAGATGCCCAAGTTGCTGTTTTCCGGAGTGGATGCTGATTTATATAGCTTCAAAAATGACAAAAAAGTATCATAAAATGTTTCACGAGTCTTTTCCCGAGCCTGAAGCCATAATTGTAGGTTTGTGTGTTGGAAAGACCACTTGGTATGTACTAAACATTTCTCATTCAGGCAAAACACAAAAAATATCGTATGCTCTCAGACGACTTGGAATCGAGTGCACATTATTCTTATGATATTTGAAAAAGAATAGCGTGAACATTCATCTAAACTGCTCCTTTCGTGCTCCTAGGAAAAACGGTTGAGTAAATGATGACAGAATATGAATTGTTCCTTAAAGAGGAAAAATGAAGGAGACTAAAATTCAAAACTAATTTATTATAGAAAATATTTGCAACTGAATTTGTGATTTAATCAGTGAAAACTTTGGTACAGGAAAATATGAACTAGAGGCTTTAATCGAGATTTTTGACAAATTCTTTTCAAAACACATCAACTCTTTTAAAGAGCAAATTCATTGCCATTAGAGCAGTGGTTCTCAACCAGTAGGGGGCCTCAATATGAGTATTTAAATGAATACATTATTATTAATAAAGCAAAATAATTCATTAAAGCACATGAAATCAAGATGTAAACTGAAATCATTTCTTTTCACCCCCTCAGTAACTTGTTTTACTGAAGAACATACAGCTCTTGAAACTTTCCAATCACAAAATGAATCAATATATCAATACTTCTATTTTAGAACTGGGAGGTTAAACATGGTTAAAGGTATAGTTCACCCAAAAATGAAAATTCTGTCATCATCTACTCGCCCTTATGTCATTCCATTTTGAAGAATGTTGATGGTAGCCATTGCACTTCCATTGTATTGTCCATACTATGGAAGTCAATGGCTACCGTCCACTTTTTGGTTACCAACATTCTTCAAAATATATTATTTTGTGCTCAACAGAAGAAGTCATTCATACAGCTTTGGAATGACATGAGGGTGAGGAAATGATGACAGAATTTTTATGTTTGGGTGAACTGTCCCTTTAAGAACTGCTGCATTAGAAACATATACATCCAAAAAAAAGTTTTCTTTTTCCCTGTCCAGGTGTTTTTAGTGTGGAAATCATCTATCCTGCAAAAGAAGGTCCTGTCATTCCACATGGATGGTACCTCAGACTCCTCTGTCATTCACATCCCTGTAAAGGAGAACCAGTACAGTATGTTGGGTCCCTTATACTAAGCCATAACTGTTGTTGACGCTCTGCTCACATCTAGCCATATCTACTTCTGTGTACTGTGTCAACATAAATTCAAAATTTGATTGACTCTGCACACGTGCACTTTGTATATCAGTTTATAAATCTCTGTTTTGTGTCAGAATGGGGCATTTTTCCCTCTTGTTTCACAGTTAGTTAATCAGTTATAATAACCTGAGCAGCTATTTGCAACTGACTTGGTTTAAAAAAGAGGCAGCATATTTGCCGCTAAATGTCACAATAGTAGCCTGGCAGCATTTCAGGCATTTAAAGCAGTGCAGTTCCAAGAAGTTCTCCATGTGAAATATCAGACACACCCTAGTGTTTTTGGCCTGGGCGCAATCCAGCTGAGAATTTCCTTGCCTTTGAAAAATGAATGTGGTCTGAAAGGCGCTGAAGGCTTTTGAGCGTTTTACCTGCCAAGTTGAGAATCAGTTCAGAAATTTCCCAAAACATTTTCAGAAAATTCCCAACAAATTAAGAATCTAGGGCAACACTCAATGTCCCAGTGCTGTTTATGATGGATGAAATTGTGAAAATGCTTGGAGATTATTGACCTTTATTGATTGTTGTATACTGTTATTTTTTCCTAGCATTTTCTCTACATGGCTCAGGAATCAGTTTTGCTGACCTCTTTCATCTTGTGGCCTTTTATTGTATCAGCAGGTAACACTTTTTCAATGTCTGATACTTAAGGTATAGGAAGTTGAACAACCCTAACGCTAAGCACTGTACTTTGTGCATGTAACTCAACCACTCACATTTTCTTTGAAGTATATAAAAACAATCCACGATTTGGAATGGATGAAATGTTTTATTGCTGTCTTGCCATCTTTACCTTCACTGCAGTGCTAAAGTGTGCATAAAAGACAGCATATGCAAGATTTATGAGTAAAGAAACTGAGTGATTGTGCAGAAATGAACCCACTGCTCATAAAACCCAATGATATCCATCACCTTATCAGCAACAGGATTAAGTAATATATGGCCCTAAATACAAAAGATTTATTTAATATCATCCATAAATCAGAAGATTGCAACAGTTCTCCATGTGATGTTTGTTTTTTCAAGCCGCTCATCGAAACTGAAAGTCTGCCCTCTCTCTGCTCAGTACCAATTTCCCACCCAGTAACAGCAGAATTATTACTTTTTCTGAATGTGATGTATATGTATGATTTGACCTGTCACTATTAATGTAGGAAAAGAGTGAATGATTGTGTGTATTTTCTCCCGTTGTTTATTTTTTACCCTCTTTCACGCACTATTTGTCTGTCTGACTCTCTTTGTTGCATATTAGAGATATTCTGCCGTTTACCCTGAAGCTTCCTGAGGCCATCCATTCAGCAGCGACCTTGTCAGATCTTCATGAAGTGGCCCAGCAAGGAGCAGGTACTGACCAAGCTCGTCTAACCCACTAAAAATATCGCATTTAGTACAGATACAGTTATATAAAAGGATATATAATAATACATTATTTCCTGTTTGGCCCCATGATTATTTATTTTCATGTTCCACCTATATGAATCTGAAATATTATATCTGCATAGTAATGTATATATCTATGTGTGTTATTTGTGACTGGTGAATTGTGAATTTACTCAAAATAGGTTTGGGGGAGAAATATCCAATGCAGGGTTATTAACCAAAACTGAAACAATTAAAAAAATAGTTTTGTTACTTGAAATAAATTAAAACATTAACTGAAATAAAATCAAATATTTAAAAAAAATAATTTAATTCATTTTATTTCATTTAGTTGACAAAGCAATATTCTCATTCTCATTTAGTTTAACTTCATGTACAAAAAAATAACTAAAAATTAAAATAAAAATGATATAGACATAAAAAAAAACACAACAAAATTACTAAAACTTTCACTAAAATGAAAATGAAGATCCAAAAAAAATACCTAATTCAGAATATGTAGGAAAAACAAACTACTAGTATCTCAGTGGCACTGAAATAGCAGTGGTCCACCGTCCATTCAAATTCAGGGGTCATTCACTCTCTCTGATTTTGGAGCCAAGTGGAATTTGAAACACAAAAAGAGTCTTCAGTATTATCAGCAATTCAAAATGGCCCTTTTCATACAATAAAATGATAATGATCAAATTGGCTTCATTTCATTTTTTTAAAACATAAGAGGTTTTAGGATTAGAGCCCTGGTCCCCTTGCACACTAAATGAAAACAGCACTAACAAAAACAAACTAACACTTCTATATTTGTAAAAATGTCTTTTTGTTTAGTTTTTTTGCTCATGTCTCAGACCTAGGGCACCAAGTGAGTCAGGTCTGCCATTGGTGCTCCCTTAAAAAAGCACAAGTGACATGATGCCAAGTGTGTCAGGAAAGTCGAGTTTTTTCAGTATACTCAAGCAGGTTGCATGTACAAGTAATAGTTAGTAATGCAGTATTTTTGTATGTTCTTACATGCTTCAGACCATCTTGAACCAGTATCAAATATTATTTGTCAGATAATGAAGAAATATTGCAATGTTCCTAGAGAAGAAGAAACCTTTGCCATGACTGTCTTGTGAGTAACTATATGTTTGAATCTCTCCGTCCACCACAGCTGAGACATGCTGGCCTGCTATTCAGTTATGTGTTATTATTAGTCCAGCTGACACTCCAGATAGTGTGTGAGACTATGTGAGCTAATCAGAGCATAGAGGTTACTGAGGGATTGTGTGTGTGTGTGTGTGTGTGTGTGTGTGTGTGTGAAATAATATTTTCAGGGACACATTTGTACCCAGAAGTGAGCTAAACCTGACAAAATCTCCTCAAACCTCCTTTTTGGATGTACTCATTTGACTTAGTTTAAAAAATGGTAAAAATAAATAAAGCAAATAAAGTTGTTGTTTTTTATTGTAAAAATGCAGAAAGTTTTCTGTTAGTGTTATTGTGTGGATTAGGTTACAAAATATTTATAACAAGCTGTATAAAAAAAACAATAGAAATCTGTGCAGTGTCCCCATTTAGTTACGTAAGTGTGTGTGTGTACCTACTTAACCATATTTTGGGGACAAATTTAGCTAGCAATGAGCTAAAAAAAAACATATGTATCACCTTAGCAACACCCATCCACACTAAAGTTGCCAATGAACAATTGTAAGTTTGGTTCAGTAATTTGAAGTCTCATTTGAAAGAGGCTGACTGTCAAATAACTATCTATTCTTAATAGAAACTGGCCCATGAAGCCACCATAAGGAGAAACTATACTGAAATGGGTGGGGAGAGAGACAGAAAGCAAGGGGAGGAGAAAGAGGAGGGGTTTGGTGTGCTCTGTGAAGTCAAGATACACGCTGATACACCTCCCCATACACGCTGTCTGTTTGGATAAATGACTGTTTTTGGCCGGCTCTGTGCTGGGTGTGTTTGTATGGCATTTGTGAAACAGTTTTCTGAAATGCACGACTGAGCTCGCTAAATTTCTCCAAGAACTTCAGTGAGCCTGAGGACAACAGAAGTGAACAGACGCTTTAGCCTGGCTGTAACTAGATATAGCCACACACACTCAAATTCACATGTGTGCTGACAATGTGTGGCGGTCTATGGTGACTGGAAGCTGGAGTGGGTGTGTTTGCTGCTTTTGTGGTTGTGTTTGTATAAAGACTGTGCATGTGTGTTGTTAACCATTAATCAGATTCTCTCTTTTATTCCAGCATTCTGGGAATCTTCTCTCAACAAACAACAATGGACAATCTCTGCCCCAAACAGTTCTCTGATTCAGGACAGACCGCCGATATCTCTCCACGGCAGCTGCTCTGATGTCTTACAGACAGTGGATCAAACCTGCACCCCATTTGGGAAGCTACTGACCAACACCTGCCCCGATACCTCAGAAGGTGAAAGGAGTTGCTCCAGCAGTGCTTTGTCTTTTATCAACCCTGTCTTTCTCAAGACACAGCAAGATGTCACTGGAACTTCAGAAACAGTGATCGCAAAGGACCCAACAGCAGAAAACGGAAAATCTCGTCCCCCTCCTCCACCAAGACCACCTCCTCGTATTTTGGTTCGTACCCCTACTTCACCTTCAGGTCCGAGGGCTATGCCTTTGAGTGCTGGCATTACTAGAACGAGTCGGAGACACAATCCTCCACCACGACCTCCACAACCTCCAGACATCGACAGCTACCGCTGCACCATTGCGTTAGATGACGAAACCATCTCTAGGGCCCTTTCTCAAGCCAATACGACTCCTTTAAACCCGACCAGCAGCACCATCCTGCAGCAATGGACCGGACCCGAAGAGAAAGGGCAAAGCTCAAGTGGCCGAAGCTTGTCTAAATCCTCATCGGACTCTTTGGATTCTCCTCCGCATCCTCTCCCATTGGGACTATCCCAAAGCGTGGGCAAAGGCCTCTCCACGGATGACAGCAGTGATGAGTATGAGGAGGAGGAGGACGACTACGGTGTGGGACTTGAAAGGGATCTGCATCTTCGCCTTCGTGCTTCCCGCATGTCAAAGAAACTACTGTCGGTCGAACTAGTGGGGGCTCGACCGAGATCGCTTGTTATCCCACGAGCACTAAGGGGAAACTTCCGTAAGGTCCGAGGTGTTTTCAGTGTATTGGCTACGCCTGAAAAGCGCATCTTGCTTCAGATCATTGAGTTGTCCCAAGACAAAACTTCTTACTTTGGGTGCCTGGTGCAGGACTATGTGAGCTTTGTGCAGGAGAATAAAAACTGCCACTCGTCCAGCCAGGATCTTCTGCAGACACTCCGGCAGTTCATGACCCAGATGAAGGCTTACCTCAAACAGAGCTCGGAAATGAACCCACCTATAGAGTCTTACATACCCGAGGACCAGATAGGTAAGTAGATTTCCAGAGTTCCAGTCTTTTTTGGGCCATGTTGAACCACTCAAATAAAGAGTAATTTTGAAAGCACCTTTCTGGGAGATCAACCTACGAATGGCTTACTTTCAGGGATATCTTATCCTGTTCCTGGAGGGCCACTTTCCTGCAGAGTTTAGCTACGACACACCTGCCTGGAAGTTTCCTAAAGTAATCCTAAAGACCTTAATTAGACTGGTTTAGGTCGGTTTAATTAGGGACAGAGCTAAAATCTGCTGGTGGCTTTCCAGGAGCAGGGTTGGACACCCCTGGATTACTTAAGGTAACTGTGCTGTGCTGGCTGGGTGAGTTTTATTCACTGTTCATTTTACTAGTGTCTGGAAACTATTAGCTGCAGCATTTTGAAATGCTAGCTTCCTTGTCTTCCAGATATGTATCCTCAGCTTGCCTTTTTATTTCCTAGTCTGTGCAGTTTGCAAACTCATAGTTAAATTCAAGGTTTGATTACTTTGACTTCACTGACAGTTCAATTATATATATATATATATATATATATATATATATATATATATATATATATATATTTATATATAGTCCAAAAAAAGGTGCAAAAATATGTTTTGTTTTGAATGCGAGTCTACCCTTATCAGTACAGAGCTGCTTGTCATATTTCCTTTAGCTACAGTGGAAAATGCAGGCTAAAATGTTGTTGATGGTGTGGTGGGAATAGCAAAAATAGACAACAAGACCAACTGAGCAGTGAAACACGAGCACTATATCCGCATGCCGATATCTGAAATACCTTTCAAGTTCAGCTGTCCTCTCTGCAGTTGCACTGAAAAGTGTAGGAAAATACTCTTAGAGTGATTGAGTTAAGTGCATGCAAGGCCAACAAGATCATATTAACTAGTCCGGTTTGTATAAAAATTACAGCTTCAGACCAGACTGCTATGGAAATAGCTGAAATGAGGTGCACATTTCACTGTTCACACAGAGAGTAGCAGTTGTTTTAACAGCAGATTAAATATTGAATAACTGCATTTTAAGAAAATATGCTATAATCCTGTTTTTACAGCTCCTAATATACTGAGGATATTTATAAAGTTAAAAATAGCTCTTGTGTTTGGTGGTTTAGGACCAATAAAGAGAGCTTGAAGGCAGACATTTTACGAAATACAAAAAAATTAAACCTAAGGCAAGCAAGAAAGTGTTCAAAGTGTAAATTCTTCATGAGCAGAGCACTTAAATTTGTGTAATTTATCCCAGCTAAAAAGTTGTTGGTTTAGCTTAAAGATAGGCTAATGCTTTCCACATTAATAATTAATGTTTTCCGAAGGCCTGACATTTCTTTGTTTGTTAAACTGTAATGTTAATAGATTTGAAGCTGTGTTGTGATACCATGGTTGCACAATAGTACATAAGGGACAACAGGACAAAGACTAGGATCCTTAATTCATAAACTTTTGTATGTTTCAAATGCAAGGTTACAAAATAGCACTGGAGTACACTGATGGAATTAGATTGTAATAGCATGTTACTTTGATTGATACCGTGGTACTGAATGATTATCCTAATCATATATATCCATATCTATATTCCCAATGTACAGCAATCAATGTGCGTGTTTTTTTTGTTGTTGTTTTTTTGTGGAATCAAAGTACTTCAGAAGAAGGGTATAAGATTGATTTTAACATCATAACAGATATAATAAATATCTGATTGACAGTTAAATGACACTCTTATTTCAGAGATGTTTATTTCATTCAACTGAACTGTGAAAGAGCGCATATTTGCTTAAATGTCTCCGGTAACATCAGTGGAGTGACTCATTTCAGATGCAGCCAAAATGACATTAACAGTGGTTATATGTACAAACCCGATTCCAAAAAAGTTGGGACACTGTACAAATGATCAAAATTATTGCTAGGGACATCAGTAGTTGCTGGATATTGGTAGGGACATGTCTATAGCGTCGCTGCTAAATTCTACACACTTCAAAACATGTTGCACTAATAAAAATGTGCAATTGTTACAGATTTTGGATAGACTAATCTAATTAAATTTTGTATGCTCGCAGTTTTGTATGTCTGTGTCATTTGCAGTTAGTCACGATGGAGCAGGAAGCGAGTTATTTGTGTGTGTTAGTAGGAGTAACTCTGTCTATGTATCATGGGTGTATGTTTGTGAATTCTGTAGGTTTATAACATTTTGGTGCATTTTTAGGGTTGATTATTTGATGTTTTCTGTAAATCATCATGTCTAGCCATTATGATAGTGGATCTGTAATCTACAGGTGACTGTATAACTCCTGTTTATACTGTGAGAGTTTCATTAGAAGTGTCATTGTGATAATGTGTAATTGCTTGTTTAATAACTATAGTGTACAGACAACTGATGTGAGGCCTGCTTTTGTCCTCATTTGACTTGCCCTTTGCATCTCAGAAAGCCCTTATTTCACAGTGAGAATTGAATACCAAGAGCTTAGGCCTAATATATCTTTTAACGTTTGTGTCAGATTTTCCATAAACTCAGCAGACACAATATGCTCTCTAAGCATTCAGGGTGTTTTGGTTTTTCACTAGTGCAGAACAGAATAGGTAGAAAGGAATAAAAGTGAGAAAAGTAAAAGTTGATATGTTCTTCAGAATATCAGAATAAGTTTGTTTTTACTGTATTTTCATTTTAATTGTCATTAAAGTTTTATTAGTTTTGTCATGTTAGGGTTAGGGTCATTTTATTAGTTTTTTTAATATGTCTGTATAATTATTATCTTTACTTCAGTTTTAGTTTTAGTTATTTTAGTGCTGGAAGTCAAACTAAAAGAAAATGTAATTACATTTTTAAATATTTTTCTTTAATTTCAAGTGACATAAAAACATTTTTTTATGGTTTCAGTTATAATTTTAGTCTTTTTAGCCTTCCTTTTTAGTTTGAAACAACGTGAAGGTTGAGTAAATTATGAGAATTTTTCATTTGAAGGTGAACTATAGCTTTAAAACGGTTTATTAAATAGAAAGTTTAAAACGTCATGCCTGTTTACGCTTTTTTTTTCTATGAATATGGTAAATGTCTCTCAAACTCTTTTATATATATATATATATATATTAAAGCTTTAACTGAAACGCCACCTCTTTTACAGATCCAATGTTGGAGAAGGCCATGCATAAGTGTGTGCTGAAACCTCTGTACGGCTGCTTGCAGTCGGTGCTGCATGACTTCCAGGTGGCAGGTGCCGTGTGTCAGAGGCTGCAGGAGAATCTGGCCCTGGCAAAGGCCAAACAGCCTCACGAGCTGGGAGTGAATGGAGCCCGGCCTCCAGACGCCCACGCCATCCACAGGATCCGCCGAAAACTCCGAGCCATGTGCCAAATGTACTCACCTGAGAGGAAGATTATGGTGCTGTTAAAAGTCTGCAAACTCATCTACAATATTATGCAAGACCATGAAGGTGTGTACGGGTGGAGTTATGTCTCGAGGGTTTATTTAAAGGCTTTAAAAGTGCGTATGTTTTAGGCATGTATGAGATCAGTAACTGAAAGCAAAAGTATTTGCACCTTAATTAACTGGATTGTAGTTGCTGGAATAGTTTGTGCAAAGGTCACTAATAAATGTTTCCTCTGTGTTTGCCAGTGCGGATGTTTGGAGCGGATGATTTCCTGCCCATGTTGACATATGTGTTGGTCCAGTGTGACATGCCTCAGTTGGACACTGAGATCCTGTTTATGATGGAGCTGATAGATCCCCCATTACTGCATGGAGAAGGTGCATTAACATGTACTCGTTCTTGTGTAAACCTGAATTCTTTTAAAAAGGTGCAAAAAATGTATTATTTGGAAGAAGAAAAAAATGGAAGAACTTCAGAATCAAAACAGGATTATTTTCTCCCGTCCAATTCTCTTTCTTGCTTCATGATGACAGAATCAGTAATGTAATGTTAACAAAGTTAATGATTGCGCAGAATCCAAACTGTAGGAGGTTCAGAACGGACAAGCATTTTCAATGTGTGACGAACTTCCGAAGTTCTGTTCCCCATAGAGTCATTTCCTCCTGGGTGTGCGTCTCCTATTCTTACTGAGCACACTGTGGCAGCCATTCATGCAAAAGATTTATTGTGTTGTATGCACACAGTCAAGTCACAAACTTGATGATCTAATGTGACAGATAGGATGATCTGTCCTCATTATAGTGATAATTTACCCTTTTTGTCAGTTTCAAAATGTACTAACAGTCTGGGCAGTGAGCAATGCAGGTTTTGAAAACCCCACCGGCCAGTTCTGTTCCAAAACGTAGAGCACTGTCTTGCTGTCTGTTGTTGCCTATAGAGTGCAGCAGTCGGGTTCTGTAAGTAAAAACGCCATTCATTTTCCTGATAAACCTGTTTTATAAAACCTGATAGTTCCGGTCCTTGATTCTGATTGGTTGAGCTGCGTTCGAAGCTGTTGTAAATTACTCTACAAACATACACATGTTTACTTTGTGTGTTGCTTGGCAACCACTTTGTTGCAACCACAACTGTTTCTGAGGAACTACATTGTTTGGTGGAAGAATACTGTCTTTATTAATATCATTACACTTTATTTGCAGTTTTATTTTGTGAAACCTAACTGCATATATGCAATAACCATTTTATAAAAGCAATAAGCCCCGTGCAGCTGTGGTTTACAGTGAATTTATAACAGCTATGGGGGTTTTACAAACAACACCCCTTAGCTGTTATAAATTCACTGTAAACCACGGCTTCTTGGGGCTTATTGCTTTATTATAAACCTATAAAACAGACCTGTTATGAGCTCAGAGGTTATTAATTGATTGTATAGCCTTTTGTCGAACCCATCCATTTGTGTTAATTCAAATCAAGCGTAGCGTTAGTTCTGGCAGGTCACGTTAGTCAAGCTCGCATCAGCTGACTCTCAGCTGATCCCCATCAACCTATGGGAATACGACACCTATCTAAGCATTCATATATAAGGTCCCTCAGTATTATCAGCAGTTTTCGCATTGCTCAATAGCTAATTACCCTCCTCCATCCCCAGCTCCTCCTCTCTCAGTCAGGATTCAGCCTTCTGATTCTCCTTGAATCAGACTAATTCTAAAATGTGTACAATTCTAAAATGTTTACAATTATTGAAGTTTAACAGTATCTGCAATACGTTTATGTTGGTTCTGTTCTGTTTACCCTGGGGGGTTATTGCTGCTCTCCCTGCTCTCATCCATGCTAGGCTGCATGGATGCGCAGGGAGTTCTTGCCCAGAACAGAACCAT